GTCAAGAAAACAAAAATCCTCACCACTGGACAAATAAACAACATTCTTATCAACGGAGAAAGGGTTGAAGTTGTGAAGGACTTCATTTTTCTTGGCTCAACTATCAACACTCACGGAAGCAGCAGTCAAGAGATCAGACGATGTCTTGCATTAGGCAAATCTGTTGCACAGGAACTTTTTAAAGTGTTGAAGAGCAAAGATGTCAGCTTGAGGACTAAGGTGCGCCTGACCCAAGCCATGGTATTTTCAGTAACCTCATATTCATGCGAAAGCTGGACAGTGAATAAGGAAGATTTGATGCCTTTAAATTATGGTGTTGGAGAATTACTAAAAGTGCCATGGGCTATCAAAAGAACCAGTAGATCTGTTTTGGAAGAAGTGCAGCCAGAGTGCTCCTTGGAGGCCAAGATGGCCAAACTTCGTCTGTCATACTTTGGACATGTTGTCAGGAGGGAACAGTCGCTAGAGAAGGATATCATGCTTAGTAAGATGGAGGGTCAGAGAAAAAGAGGACGACCCCTAACTACATGGATTGGCCAGGTGGTATCATTGATGGACTCAAGAGTGGCAACAGTAGTGAGCTTGACCCAAGATCAGACATTGTTTCATTCTGCTGTGCATAGGGTCACTTTGAGTCGGTGCCGACTCGATGGCACCTAACAACAACAATGTGAAGACTAGAATTCACTCCACTCATACAAGGGGGCTTCAGAAATTCATGAAAAATTCCATCTTTCAATTCCATTGTTTTTTCACAAACTTTTTGAAGACCCCTCATATGTATCCAACAGAAAGTATTGGTTTAACAGCTTTGTTTGCCTTGGCAGTGACCAGAACTCTTATTCTCATGAACTTGATGATGAGATACTCTTGGGTGACCATTGGTATTATCTTTGCAGCCATGCTTGGAGCTGAAATGCTGATACAATCAGTATCCTATCACCAGAGCCAAGGCCCAAAGCATCTTCTGGTGTGATGGGGGCATGGTGGCTCCTTTGGCAATATTAGAGGGGCCTCTTCTCATCAGAGCTGCATGGTATACAAGTGGCATCCCCAGGGGCTCCCCACTGTGTCTGTGTCCTCCCAGTCGCTGAACATGGGGCTTGTTTCTTGTCTTTGTATTCTCATTGGGATCTGATTCTTCCACCAACCACTGTGGTTGGCTTCACTCTGTACTGAGTAACCACATATGGTGAGTTAGTTCTTTTCAGCATGTTCCTTCCCCATGATACCCAGATAGCCATCAAGTGGGCAGAAATAGCACCAACATTTGGATTCACAAATACCCTATCAGTTTGATGGTGGGAAATCTACATGGATACAATAAATATATTTATGTGAGTTGTCAGTATGCTAGCAACTAGAAGACACAGAAAAAATCAAATCACTCAGCTTTTGACTTCTCTAATACATCAGATAGCTTGCTCATTTAATTGGGACAGATACTCACAAAATGGTTTGTACAAGCTCCTTTAATTAGCACTTAGAAGATATGAACATGCCAGCATGTTTAAAATGTTCTAATATAATGTGATGCTTCCAGTCAGCTTTTTCTTATGGAGAGTACATTTTTTTTTTTTTTCATATAAGCAAAAAGAAAAGTCTTTTTCATGAAAAACAAGGAAAGACAGATGGACCTGTGGGGGCTGAGGAGACTCGGGAGGCATGATAACTAAATGTAATTCATAGGATTCATTCCTGGAACAGAAAGAAGATGATACTGGGAAAGCTGGTGAGATTCATACAAAGTCTACAGTTAAGTTAAAAAAATGTGCCAATGTTAGATTTTTAGTTTTGACAAATGTTCCTCAGAAAAGTAGACTGTTATCAGGGGGAGAATGTGGGTGAGGGGTATGTGGGAATACCATGCTGTCCTTACAGTTTTTCTGAGCATATAAAATTACAATGAGGGCCATGGTGTTGGGTCCCACACCCACTCCCAGAGATATTTTAGGTGGTGATTTTGTATTAACTCTGAGGCTGCTGTGGCCTCTTGTAGGTACAACACTTTGGTGGGGATGTTTAGGTGCCATCGAGTTGGTTCTGACTCATAGCAACCCTATGCACAATAGAATGAAACGCTGCTTGATCCTGCGCCATCCTTCCGGTCACGGTTTAGCTTGAGCAGGTTGCTGCTGCCAGTGTGACACTGCATCTTATTGGGGGTTCGGTGGGAAGAGACCAATCCAAAGGTAGGGGAAAGGGTTTCAAATAAAGTAACTGACAATGCTTTGTCAAGGAGCCCTGGTGGTACAGTGGTTAAGTGCTCAACTGCTAAGGAAAAGATCAGCAGTTCAAACCCACCAGCCATTCTGTGGGAGAAGAATGTGGCAGTCTGCCCCTATGAAGATTACAGCTCTGAGAACTCTATGGGAGCAGTTCTGCTCTATCATACAGGATCGCTATGAGTTGGAATTGCCTTGACAACAATGAATTATGGTGGAAAAGGTCAGAGGTCAAGGTTCAAATTCTGACTCTGTCACTTACCAGTTATGCAGTCTGGGGCTCGGAAATCGCTGTAGGTTTCCTCTTTCTCATTTGTAAACTGGAGTCACCAGCACAGGCTTTGCCAGAGTCATAACAGCAACCAAGGAGAGTATGTTGGTTATAGTTGGCATTTTTTTAGTGTGTGTTATATTCTAGGAACCATGCTGCACATTTTTTCATAAACCACTCTCCAGACCCATTTCTACACTAACATTCTGTGAATTTAAACTTTTTTTTTTTTTTTAAAGCTGTTGTACTGGTACAATTCTTGGCTCACCAAAGCCAAAATTTGCCCCGTTAGCTTTGGACAAAGTTAATTATTTCTATAGGATTCTCTCGGATTCTAAAGTAGAAAGAAACAAAACAGCTCTAGCCCCTAGTTGTCTTTTTTTTTT